ACCTTCTTTGAAGGTTCTGATCTACCGAGAGAAATTTCAGTGAGTCCCATGCGTCCAACGTTCTCTTTAGGAGCCGAGATGTGATGCAATGAGGAGAACACAACGTCGAGGTTGACGGCTTGTCCTCAGATGATATTGTCCCACTCAGATGAGGGGAAACCGAGGGGAACAGTTCGAGAGGTCTGGATCCATTGCTTGACGACTTTGTAGTCCCTAGCGAAGAGGTGAAGAATCCTTCATGATTCTTCGCAGTCTTTGTTACCAGTTCTTCTGACTTCTTCCTCTCTGGTGAACCAAGGCATTTCTGATTCGAAGACTCAACGCTTCTTGTTTGAGGCCCCATCAAGGTCGAGATTGAATTCGTTGTCAGATCCATTTCCCGAAGGTTCCTTCCTATGTCGCTTTGAATCCCGACTGATCTGAGAAATGAGCTCGTCGGTTTCAGCGTCGTGATCGGTAGATTTGCGAGGCTGGGGTGGGTTTGATTTCTGTCCTTTGGGATCGAACGCACTCTGGGTGATTCTACCTCTCCTAATCGCTGAAGAAGATAGGGCGTGAACCTCGTTGAGGGTTTTTGCGTAATATTCAACGGCTGCGTCTTTCGCTTCCTCACTCCTGGAAGGGTTGAGATCGAGGATTGAAATGATGCAGGAGAGCGCTTTGAGCTTAGTGATCTCGTTGGTTCTAAAGCTCTCGACGAGGTCGTCCATTTGTTCAATACATTCTTGTTCAATCTCGCTACGTTCTTCGTTGTCAACATCTCCTGACTGGTCATTCCCAGTCTCTCTAACAGGACTGGTTCCTTGTTGTCCGTCGTCAGATTGATCTGGGGTGTATCGTCCGACATGTCCAGTCTGTTGAGTAATGTCGGTGTCCCATTGCTGGTCATTCCCAATCTCTCCAGTAGTATTGGAGGATCCGTTGCCTGGTACTGCAGACGCGAAGAGGTTGGCATGGTCGTCACTCATAGGAGAAAGTTGAGGAACGATGAATGCGTATAGTATTACAATGTGATGAAGAACACAACTGTAAAATACTGAGTTGACAAAGTAATGTGTTATCGCAAGAGCCTTCAACAGTGAGTTGGAAACATACCTGGCTGAGGGAATGAGTGTTGAGACGAGAGCCTTGTGGAAAGGAGTCATCTCATCGCACCCCTCAGCCATGATGAATCTAAAAATAGGTTAGTCGCAATCCAAGCGTGGATTGTGTAAGTTGAGCAGCGGCTCTGGGTGAGCAGCGGCTCTAGTAGTTGAGCAGTGGCTCAGAGTCGCGTGTCAGCGGACACGGCGACTGTGAAGGTACGCGTGCGAAACAAGCCCTGGTCAGCTTACATTGGACTTGAGTAAACAAATTTTAAACTCGATCAAACAAACATCTCGTGAACGTCTCTTCGCATTTCAACAGTTTTGCTTACTGTACCTACATAACTACCGTCCTATTACCTCCAACTACAACTCCTACTTTTACAGTCCGAGGTATTTGTCTCCCTAGCCAACTTTTACGCCATCGCCGAAACAGTATGGCTTGCAACGGAGAGGGATCTGGGTAGATGACGAGGTTAAGGTGACGTTGAGGCGACGTTAGAGGGAGTTGGGAGTTCCAGTCGGTCGAAGAAGTGACGTGGAGAACACCAAACAGCCTCGGATTTGAAATTTCCGCGCGTCCGCCCATCCGAGGTATAAGGTATAAGAAACTCCGTAAGTTGTTTCAAACCTATCGAAGCGGATCGAAAGCGAGAGGCCCACAACCATGTCAGAGGAAAACCGGTAAATCTTCTCCAATAGTACGAAAGGCGACTTGGTGAGGCTTGCAGGGGAATGCGATGAATATTCTTCATTCTCGAGAGGTTAGTTCAACAGCCAGCTGTTGGTCGATTCGTTAGCGACACGATCAACATGAGAAAGACGCGTAGATTTACCGGAAACTCCACGGAGGTCGAGTGAGCTGATCTCCAGCCAGTTCTCCGGAGGTGCTGCATATTTCGCGTAGATGAATCTGGGTTCAGTGAGTCTTCACAAACGGTGGAGAATCCAGACTGATTTCGTGAGAAGTATGACTCGAACATAATGCGAAGTCTGACAGGACCCCGCTCTGTCCGGAGAAGTCGGACCCCTGGGCATGCGCACAAGAGAATTTGGAGATGGATTTCATCGGGACGACATGCACGTTCGACGATATTAGACCGATCGCTCATCATCTAGGGACAATCGAATTGATGAGATATAGGGACCAAAGTGGTTGATCCCGTCCTTCAGCAGCTCTCAACCCAACTCGAATGCCAACGAAGTCCTACCACCAGGTCTGAATGCGAAGGGACGGCTCCAGTGTATAGACGGCAGTCCCAGGGAGTTATGATGAAGCACGACGTTGATTCCACAGGAGAAAAGCAGGTCCCTGTGGCCTCCCATCCTTCAATGAGGAGGGAGGAACGGATCCAAAGACTGAATCCTCACGCCAGAGAGAGCTCCGAAGGTGAGGATTCTCTTGATGGCGGTATATGGAATTGGGTCTGTGTGGAGTAAGAACGATGCTGTAGGTTTCATCCGACGAGGGAAAAGCGAGGCGTGGATGGCAATATGGAAGGTGACGGCGTTGGGTTTCTAATGTCGTTGACCCTTCTTCATCCGAAAGAATAGGACAACCCGTACTCCGGGTCATTGTAGTTGCGGCCTAGACAAAGGGCAAACAATTGGCAAAAGGTGATGACGGCGAGGAGTAGACGCAGAAGATTGGGAAGTTGGGGGTGATGTGCGGGGGTTCTGAGTTGATGGTGGGTAAGGTGGAGGAGCTCACGTATATGAAGTTTTTGAGAAGCTGTTCGGGATTGATACTCCGAAACGTATGCGCGGAAACGGCAGGAGACGACAACAGCGGAGGAAACCCAGGGTACCCCCCAAGAAGCCGACTGGGGCCTGCAGAGAATGCAATAGATGCTCTTCAGACATAATACAAGAGCTAGCTGTTGGTCGATTCATTAACCACCAGACTAGCATGAGAAGGAGGTGCATACTCACCGGCAACTCCATGTACCTTCCAATGGGCTGATTTCCAGCCACTCTCCGCAAGGCGTTGACGTTCCGCGTAAAAGGAACTGGGTTCAACGAGCCGAACACCTTCAAAGATCGCGGATGCTTTGGTTTGTTTTCAAGGCATCATAGCGACGATGCAAGAGTGTTCCAAAGGCGACGTTCGCCTGGCCTGGCGAAGATTTCGAAAGCATGACTGAGAGAGAAGAACAGACTGCTGGGAAAAGTGGGTGAGGAGCTTGTCGAGAAAAAGAGGGGGGGAGAGAACACGTAAAATGACGAAATTGGAGGGCAAAATCGGAGGAAAGAAATCGCGAACGAAAGTGAAGTTGCAGTCATAGGAGCCAATATGCACCGAGGTTGGTGGAAGACGAAAGCGTAAGAAAGGCGAAGAAAGGGCCAAAAAGGAGACGATAGGAGGTTGAAATCAAAAAGGACACCCACCTACGCGGACTCTGAATGAAGGCGCATAGAGTCGATCTTGAGCTTGACAATCCGCATCCAAAGTTGGGCCGAAGGACATGCTCCGCTGGATGTCGAACAGGCTTCATGTTGACCATTGTGGATCTTTCCGGATCCATTTCCGAAATCGAGATCGTTGCAGAAGCCCAGTCCCAATCGGCGATCCACCCGACAACCAGCACTCCCCTCAACGTTATCCTCCTTCCTCACCACCGCAAAATAAACAGCAAGAACCACCACCAAACCAATGGTAAAGATCGTACCCAAGACGCCTATCAAAACTTTGGTCCGTCGTTTACTCGCTTTCACTTCTAACCACGGTCCGTTCTTCGGCTGGTGAGTTGCCAAAGCCTCCTTATCCTCAGGCTCCACCCCCGCCACTCTACTTGCAGCCAACGCAAGTAGTTGTTCCCCATTCGGGGTATGATTAGTCGTCGCACCAAAGGCTTGAAAAGAGTCCATAGTAAGAGACGAGCGCTTTGAAAGCAAGGCGGGTGTAGAGCCTAGAAGGTAATCGGACTAGCGGAAGGGGGTAATTCGCCTGATCGAGGGACATGTGAGTCGTCTGTTGTCTGGTCGATGATGCGCCTTGTGGGAGGTGGTGAAAAGTTGTGGTGATTGGCGCTGAAGAAGGTCGGTGAACTCGGGTGGTTGGAGCGCCGATTGGTCTGCGGCTGCTGGATGGTTGGATGGTTGACGACCATAGCCTCGCAAGTGGATGGTGGTGATGAGTGTTTGACAGAGGACGGTGGTGGGTCCTCTTCTTGCATGAAGGGGGAGATGCACAAGGATGGTTGGCCGTCGCGAATCTGTGGCACGTTGTCCGAGCCGAATCGCCAAGGCTTTCCCTTGGTGATTATCCAACACTGCAGGAATGCCGTTGCATCAAATGGCGAACACGAGTAGAAGACGTGAGGCAACGTTGAACATTCTGCTTCGGATATGCAGGGCTGGAGGGAATTGAAAAGCCCAGGTGTATGGAGCAGGGTATTGCGGATGAAAGATGGCAGCAGTGCTCTAGGGTTTTGTAGCTTTCGGGTGAGGTGATAGTGCACATTGTAGTGGCCATACTTGGTGGCCCAACTAAACCGCCTCGTAGTAGCACGTTGCGGGGCTTCAAAGAACTAACATCAGAAGGCGAAACTGGCGGTATGGATGGCAAACGCACCTCAGAGTTATCCAACGCAGCTTCAACTATCAAATGTCCTCAGGCAAACTCGGAAAGGCAGACGAAGCACTGAATTTGACTCAGTCATGGTATTGTGATGTGGATAGGTCCCCGCGCGACGTGTTGGACGTGTCTTAGTCGAGTCTTGGTCGACGTGCATGATGATGGTCAAGAACAAACATGACTACCACAACACGCTGATCACGACCCCTCACCGACACGTCTCTTCTGCCATTCGTCATGTTCGCGAAAGACTCCCTTGAATCTCTGCTACTTCAATTTTCTAGGACGACCGCTTTTTTCCCTCTACCTGATTGTCCTTCGTCTGGTGCTTCATCTCATGTCTTTCCTAGGTAACGTTCTTTGCAATGTCTCCCTCTGTTCTGCGGGATGGGCCCTCATTTGGTGCTCCACGTGGTTTCTGGGAGACTTAGCACTCTGAAGTCGTTTCCACGATGGCTCGTTATGTATGGGACGTGAATTAGGTATACGATACAACAGTGCTGTATTCTTCTCCCTACAACCGATGACTACTCTACTGATGCTTCAGAGTTCCGTAACGCCTAAATGATTGAATGAGTTCTAAAATCCTTGCTACGCAGCGTCGTGGAGCGCTATACGGCGCCCCCCCGCCTCCAGATTTTGGCTGGGACTCCATCGATGATATCGTAATGGTCGGGCAATTGCAATATAATAATGGTAACGCTTTTTTTTCTATTCCAAATCCCTTATCCCGCTTACTATCACAATGACCAGCATCATGAACTCTTTCCGACCTCAGGAGCCGTATATGGGTTGGATCTACATGTGTGGTCTGGACACCAACAGGATTTCAACAGGGTACTTACAGAGGTTAATGGAAACTCAGCCGATCGTGAGACGTCCAAGGAACGTCGCACAGCAAACCCTCGGACCTGAGTCCTTGACCTTTAAAATGCAATGGGTGTCATTGGGTGGTCGTGACTAGGCCTGATAGCTTCCATCGTCAACTTGTAAGGTATCAACGTTCAAAATTGCTGATGTTGCCTATTCGCCGTGATCTCATTCTCAGGTGCTACCCTTTCCGCATGTCGCTTTCTTGTCATCTGTTTCTTTCTGGCGCTTCCCGCACCGCGCTCATTTTAGCAAATTCGCTCGATAGGTATGATCAAACTCGCTCTTGGGCGGTCCAATAAATCAATAAAGAATGATATATGGGAAGCTTGGGTAACTTTTCTATGCGTTGTTGATGGGGTGAACTTTTCGGTCTAAAATGGACAATTAGCAGGGTAGGCCCACGTCAAGAAGAATGTGCAACTTGGCTCGCTTCTCCTTACACCGCCATACTTCTCATTCAGGAGGGTGCCCAAGCAGCCGTGCGCTGCAATCTGCTTTCAGTAGCAAGTCTCCGGGTCTTTGGTAGGGTCTAGATGGGCGCCAGATTTACAATCTCGATTGCGAACAGGGCTGTGGGTTGTGTAAAGACAGAGTAAAGACACACAGGTCATTAACGCCGTCAGTTCGAGCCATGAGCGGAATGATACCTGACGACCGTGCTTTGTGCCAAACTTGATGCGAATAAATTTGGAGTGAGAATTGGGATGTACATAGACGGAGACTTGGCTTCCTTATCTCAAGGAACTTCGGACCGCAGAAACCAATCGGTTTCCGTGAGCGCCCAAAAGCATTCTTCCGAAACGAAGTTTAAAAATAGATACGGCGCATGACCATGGCATGAGGCAATGCGGCACCGCAGTATCGTTCCTTCCAGGTCTCTTCCTAACCACCACCACCACGAACGCAAGCGCTACTACCAGTAACAAGAACACCAACAATATGAATACTAGTGAATTGAATCCCAGCACAAACCGACGTCAGCAAGCTGCCGGCGGAGGTGCCGGTCTTCATACACTCGAAGCTGTGGCCGCATCTGATGACGCCTTCCCACCCTTGAAGTTGGCTGTTGTCAAAGCCTTGGATATCATCGATATCATCAAGGTGCTCGGCTTTGCTCTACTCAATCTATCTTACCTATCTATCAATCAAATTAGAAATTCAACTCTAACAGGAGAGCCTGGGCTGCTTGTTCAGATAATCTTACTGGGAAATTTGAGGAGATCATTCAGTATACCTCTCAGTTTCACAAGCATCATGTTCCGTCTGCTTTGCAATCTTGGCTTGAGGATTTGAAAGGGTGTGTGACTTTGACTGATATTATAAGTGCCTTCAAATTCAAATACTCTGCTAGAGCTTTGGACCATCTCAAAAAAAGTGTTTCAGATATTCACCAGCAGAGTTTAAGGAAATTTCCCAGCTTTACACAAGATACAGAGCATATTGAGAAGTTTGAGGGAAAGGTGAATGAAATCATGAGCTCTTTCCATGTGTGTAAAATAGCTCTCTGTTTAATTGGCTCACTGACACCAAGATTTAGGTCCTTCTTTGGCATGGGGAAAACTTCCAAAGTATGTTGAAGCATCCATTTTTTTATTCCTCACTGTTTATTATTCTTTACAGCTGACAGTACACAGACTGCTGAACAGCTGAGGACCAAAGAGGCCAGTCAAGATAGTAAGTTAATAAGCTGAAACTGATACTTCTAAATTTCCCTTATTCTTATTGTTCATCTGAAAAGGTGCTACAGCAGCTCAAGTAACTGTCTTTGCTGGGGCACAAGATATTCAGATGAATCATAGTGTAATTATTGCTGGACAAATTGTTAGTGAACATTCTCATTGACATTTCCATGCTAATCCACATCTACATTTTGCAGGTCCACTACAACAATACTGAGGAACTTCAAGATAAAATTAATGCCATGATAGAGGAATCAAAGGAAAGTCATGTTAGCCTGGTTATCTTCATAACTTATGCCAGCCAATTCCTCAGGCAGATAAATGGTTGCAGGAGCTCAAGGCTCCATTACATAGCAAACCATCAGAGAGATGCATGCCTGGAACTTGAGTGGATGTGCTAACAGACATTAAAGCATGGGTAAATGATCTGAGCATGCCAAACATTCTCTGGCTTTCTGGCAGTCCTGGCTCTGGGAAGACAACAATTGCTTCAACTGTTGTGGCTAGCTTTGAACATCTTTCTGGGCAATTCTTCTTCCACCGTGATCAGACTGAGTTTCAGAATCCAGATAATCTATGGAGATGCCTTGCCTTAGATCTTGCTCAGGGAAACACTGCATTGAAAATATCTATAGCCCAAGCACTAGAGGCACAGAAAGCTAAAGTCAGAGGTCTTGACATTCCCATGCAATTTGAGCATCTCATTGTCAGGCCACTCCAGGAGGCCTCTCAAAGCTCTGTGAAGCCACTTCTTCTTGTTATTGATGCTCTGGATGAGTGTGATTCATATGAGAGACTCTTACCTTCTTTAAAATCCTGTTCTCAACTTTCCAAGTCTCTAAAGCTTCTAGTTACAAGTCGCCGCTATCCTGATATTCAGAATGCATTGAAACCTGTTGGTTATCATATTGATCTTCATGCTGGAGATGAAGTTTCTGATCAGACTGCTGATGATCTTTGGAAATACTTTACCACAAGATTTCTTGAAGGGGCTAATTTAGATACCTCAGCTCTATATCTGAATTGGCCTGGTCTAGAAAAAATTTCATTTCTTGTAGAAAAAGCTGCTGGGCTATTCATTTGGGCTAAATCTGCAATGGACTTCATCTTGTATAAGGGTGGTGACATTCAAGGGAGGCTGGAAGTTATATATTCCAATACTGGAGAGGGGACTGATGCCATTGATGGCTTGTACCATCATATCATTTCTGCTGCTTTTCAAGGTCTAAGAGAAACAGAGAAAAATTGTTTGTCATCAGTTTTGGGCTCCATTGTCATTGCAAGAAATCCACTTCGTTCCAGTGATCTTGAACAGCTTCTAGAGGTTCAAGATGCATTGTCTGTAATCAGTCAACTAAGTCCAGTCTTGTCTATCAGTGAAAGTGGCCATTTGCAGATCTGTCATCAGTCAGTTACAGATTTTCTGCTTGACCCAAAGCGCTCTAAGGCTTTTTGGGTTGATTCTAAGAAGCACAGTCTCTGTCTTGCTGGGTGTTGTATGAAATTTATGAGTGCAAAGCTAAAGTTTAACTTTTTTGATCTCAAAACATCACATATCCTAAATGAAGATATTCCAAACCTGATGGATCATAGGAAAAATGTGAAATCTACTGCTCTAGATCATGCAAGCTACTTCTGGGCAATCTATCTGCAAAAATGTTCTGATAGGGCATTGGAAGAGAAGATAATGGTTGAAATGGAGAAATTTCTGATAAACCATCTTTTACATTGGCTAGAAATTATGAGTCTGATGGGTGCTGTGAATCATGCTGCTCACTTACTGCTTTTGGCTGAAACTTGGTGCAAAGTAAGTGTCTTGTAAAAGTATACTACTATGATACTGACATGAACAAATCAAATATAGGCATTGAAGCCTAGTATGTCAGAGTTTGCAAGTGATGCAAACCAATTTATAATGGCATTTTTTGAGCCAATCTCTGAAGCAGCACCACACATTTACATCTCTGCACTGCCATTTGCACCACAAAATTCTAAAATATCTCTTCACTTCATACAACATTTTGTAAAAACTTTGACAATTGAGAATGGTCAGATGAAACAGTGGCCAGACAGGTGCCTTCTGAGAATAAAGACTGATTATGGTCCACTTGCATATTCACCTGATGGCAGGCACATTGTCTCTGGAATTAATGGAGCTATTCATGTCTGGGATGCCCTCACAGGCCATAATATCATGAATTTTGAAGGCCATGCTCACTATATACATTCAGTTGCATATTCTTCCAATGGGAAACACATAATCTCAGGATCTTCAGACAAGACAATCAAAATCTGGGATGCTTTAACAGGCCAGTGTGTTATGGGTCCTCTTGAAGGCCATGATGACTGGATTACCTCAGTTGTATGCTCTCCAGATGGTGGGCACATTGTCTCTGGATCCAAAGATATGACAATCAGAGTATGGAATACTTTGACAGGCCAGAGTGTCATGGAACCTCTAAAAGGCCATAGTGGGTGGGTTACTTCAGTTGCATATTCTCCAAGTGGCAGGCATATTATTTCAGGGTCTCATGATTGCACAGTCAGAATCTGGGATGCTGGAACAGGTCAGTGTCTGATGGATCCACTTATTGGTCATGATGGGGGAGTCCAGTGTCTTGCATACTCTCCTGATGGAATGAACATTGTTTCTGGATCTTTTGATTTCACAATCAGAGTCTGGGATGCTCTATCTGGTCAGAGTATAATGGTTATTTTTAGAGGCTCTGCCCTCATCCACAAGGTAGCTTTTTCTCCTGATGGCAAGCACATTCTATGTGCAACTGGAAACCACATAATCAGACTCTGGAATGCTCTGACAAGTCATTGCACATTAAGTCCTCTTAAGAATGATGAGGGCTCAGTTAATTCAGTGGTGTTTTCACCCAATGGCAAGCATATTCTTTCTGGATGTGAGGGCCATACAATCAAAGTTTGGGATGCTTTGGCAGGTCACACTGAGATAGATCATGTAAGAGGCCATGATGAGGAAATAAGATGAGTTGCATTTTCACCTAATGGCAAACAAATTGTCTCCAGGTCTAATGATGCAACAGTCAGAATTTGGGATGCTCTGACAGGTCTAAATATCATGGGTCCACTTAAAGGCCATGACAAGATGGTTACATCAGTTGCATTTTCTCCTGATGGTAGATACATTGCCTCTGGATCTCATGATTGCACAGTCAGAGTCTGGGATGCTTTAACAGGTCAGAGTGCCATGGATCCTCTCAAAGGCCATGATAAAGGAGTTATTTCTGTTGCATTTTCTCCTGATGGTAGATACATTGCCTCTGGATCTTCTGATATGACAGTCAGAGTCTGGAATGCACTGACAGGGCAGAGTGTGTTGGACCCTTTCAGAGGTCACACTGATTGGATTCATTCAGTTTCTTTTTCTCCAGATGGCAGATTCATCATTTCTGGATCTGAAGACAGAACAATCAGAGTATGGGATGCTCTGACAGGTCAAAGTATAATGAATCCTCTTATAGGTCATGAGTATGGTGTTCACTCTGTTGCCTTTTCTCCTGATGGAAGGTACATTGTGTCTGGATCTGATGATAAAACTGTCAGAGTGTGGGATTCTAGCACAGGACAGAGTGTCATGGATCCTCTAAAAGGCCATTATGCTTGGGTTTATTCAGTTGCATTCTCTCCTGATGGGAAGTACATTGTTTCTGGTTCTCTTGACAAAACAATTAGACTCTGGGATGCTGTAACAGGTCACAGTTTGGGAGATCCATTCCAAGGCCATTATGCAGCTGTTCTATCAGTTGTCTTTTCACCTGATGGTAGGCATATTGCTTCTGGATCCTCAGATAAAACCATCAGGCTCTGGGATGTGCATGGAGGCTGCATAGACTTAAATCCCTCAGCTCCTTCAGTTACATTGTCATCCACATTCTTGTCATCTGGAGTTATAAATGTTAATGACACTGACACCCATGACAGTGTATCTCACATTTTCAAGAGTAAACCTGTTGTTTTTTATCCCTCTCCAGGACTTATATCTAATAATTGGATCACTGGAGAACATCCCAGATCATATCTCTTCTGGGTGCCACCACACAATAAACATGGTTTATTTTTTCCAAGAACAGTCAATGTACTGGGCAGCACTCCAACTATACTTAATTTTAGTAACTTTGTCCATGGTACAAGTTGGACTCAATGTTATTCACCAGCCTTATAATAGGATTCAGTGCAGATGCTGGTTCATGGCCTATTTGAACAATCTTTTACATGTTGGTAGAACATTCTTTGAGAGACTGTTGAGATGATATGGTTTTTTTTCTCTTTTCTTTTCATCATTAGGGGCAACAATATTCTCTGGTTTTGAATCCCTTTTGTATATGGTTCCAAAGTTACTTCTGTGTTTTGATGTAGTATCAATGATGTACAATACTATAAGCTCCCCCCCTCAAAAAAAAAAGATTGCACATATGATGACTTTATTTAAAATTATGCAAAAAGTGAGCCAAAACCCTTTGGTATGTACCAAGATGTAATCAATTCTAATCATTCAGGACAGTCTCAAGGATGCATTGACTGACAGTACAAGTTCAACTTCCCAGGTATTGCCTTAGAGAGCAGGATCGTTTACATTCATTTTGTAAGTATAGGCACTTGAGATCCCTCCACAATCCAAGTAACCTCGTTATTGATAAGCACCAGTGATAACTTAAATAAGTCCTATCCCACCATTCACCACCCTCAAATCCGACACTTCAGCTCCCCACCAACCATCGCAATTGTAGCACCCAAACATCACCCCAACTCCGTCCCCCCAATCTTCTTCCCCATCGCCACCTCTCTCCCATCCTCAAACTCATACCCAAGCCTCAACAACGCATGCATGAACGTCAAATCAAGGCACCACTCTGGTCTGTCTGCGTGTTCAGCCATGAGTTCGGAATCAGCACCCCAGTGGTTCCGTAGCCACTCGTCGCGGCCTTAGCAGGCTTGGCGCGCGGTGCTGGCGATGGTGGATACGGTTATGTGGGAGGAGGGGGGAGAGGCGGTCGTAGAAGTAGGAGAGGAGGAGGACTTTACCGTTTGGGAAGGAGGAGAGGAGGGAAGGTTGGTAGAAGCCGTTGAAGGAGCATGGTTTTAGTTCGCAGATTCTGTATGTGCATGTGAATTAGTAGCGAAAAGAAGAAAGAAAAAAAGAGCAGGGACAGGGAAGGGGGAGGAACGGACGTACGCGTCTTTTGCCAATACGAGCTGCACCACCCGATCACACGCCTCAAAAGACCCAATGTCCCCCCCATCCATCGTCACCTTCCTCTCCTTACCCGTCACTTCATCCTTAACAGTCACCACCCTCCGTGTCCCCTTCGCAAGACACGGATTCCCCACCACCACCTTCGGCTTCGAACCTTGCAACGTCGACATGAAATCCACCAATCTATGAACGTGTCTCCGTGCACGCATCAACCCATACCCCAAGTACGAGTGTTGGTACATCACATGATTCCGGCCACCGAATTGGAGGTCGTATTTATGTTCTCCCTCTTCTAGCTGCATGTCGGAGGAGGCAAAGACAGGCTCGAATACGATTTGCGTAGACGCGCCGCCGAGGTCGAGGACGGCGTAGGTGGGTGTATCGGGGGGTGTGGAGGCTTTGATGGTACCCAAGAGGTAATTGGCCGTTATCCACGCGTATACGCCTTCGTCTTTTCCATCCATAATCACCACCCCGTCTTTCTCTTGTAACTGGAAAGGATAAGAAGAACGTATCCTCCCTTCCACCGCCTCCAAAATATCAGCGCTCTGCGAACCAGGTAGCAATCGAAGTCCAGCGGTAGCTTTAACAGCCACCGGCGTACACCCATGCATAACTTTGGGCACGACGCGGACAGCTTCGTCCAAGAGGACGTCTAGGCTCCGCGCAGCGCCTTCTGGGTTCCCAGCGAATGAGGACAAGCCAGGTTGCGTCATTTTGAATATTTCGTATTCGTATTCGGGGGAAGGGCCGCAGTTGTTGAATTTGTAGACGTGGATTCTGGAGCTGGTTGAGCCTGCGTCGATCATTAGTGCGTATTGCACCAGAGTACCGGAGGAGTGCGGTTGGGTGCAGTGTGTCGTTGATGATGGGTCTGGATCAGTTTCGTATGAATCTGGGTGGGCGATGGGTGGTTTTGGAGCAGTGACGACGGGTGGATGGTGTTGTGATTGGGTTTGCTGGTGGTGCGTTTTTGAAGGGGACGGCGCTGTGTCGGTTTGGTATCCTTTTTTCGTAATCTTTTCGTCAGTTTCTAGAAAGAAAGGAAATGTAACTTACCTTCCACTTCTAAATCAACGTTCCCATTCCCTCGCCAGGAGAATGTATGCCCCCTCGGCCAACCAAAGCAACATCACCCCAACGAGGAGCGCAGCGCCCAAAGCGAACTTCTTCCACGTGAACCTCTTCGTCATATCAACCCTACTCGGCCCATTGTGCCTTCTAGTCGGTCGTAGTTGCTGCTCCCAGGAGACAGGGTTGCCATGAGGTATCGTAAACGAGAGGTGACCGGTGAGGTTGTAGTGGGCATTATTGACCGCTATGGCGCGAACAAATCCGGTAGTGATGACTTTCTACCAAATGTAGTTTTTTCGCTGTCCAGCATACGATGCAGTGGAGCCATTGTTCTCCAAATAGAAGGATCGAGGGATGGCCGTCGGTCTTATCACAACGCGAGGTCAACGTCATGGGCGATGGTCAAGTTGTTATCAAATTCAAACAAATATCTCGCGAACGTCTCTGCGCATTTCGACAATTTGCTTACTTTACAGTACATAACTACCGTCCTGTTACCTCCAACTACAACTCTTTTACAGTCCGAGATATTTGTCTCCCAAGCCAACTTCTATGCCATTGCCGAAACAGGTCAGCTTGCCGCATAGTTTATCTCCCGAGCTCCTTCCATTGCACAATCTTTGGATGTATGCGGGGATCGAGAATGATGTTGAAAATTCGTCCATGCGACAAGAAAAGCAGGTAGTGTGGGCTTTCCGTCCAAGCCTGATGTGTCTTTTAGCAAGTGAAAGGAGGTCACGGCCGAGGAGACGTGAATGAAACGGAGTACCGTGAGACGTATGACTCGAACATAATGCAACGACATGACCCCACCCTGTCCGGAGAAGTCGGACCCCTGCGCATGTGCACCCAGGACGACATGCATGTTCGACGAGATTGAACCGGTCGTTCATCATCCAGCTCCAATCGAATTGATGAGGCTGAGATATAGAGAACAGAACAGATTGACTGATTACGTCCTTCAGCAACTCTCAACCCAACTCGAATGCCAACGAAGTCCTGCCGGCAGATCTGAATGCGAAGAGACGGCTCCAGTGCGTAGTCAGCAATCCCAGGGAGTTATGATGAAGCAGGCAGAAAAGCAGGTCCCTGTGGGCCTCCCACCCTTCAATGACAAGGGATCTAACCGGAGGGAGGAACGAATCCAAAGGCTGAATCTCGCGCAAGAGGGAACTCTGAAGGAGAGTCTCTAGGTCTCGGTCCCAGGAATTGGGTGCGTGTGGATTAAGAACGATGCTGCAGGTTTCACCGGACGAGGGAAAAGTGAGGCGTGGATGGCTATATGGAAGATGATGGTGACAGGTTAGTATTGTAGTTGACATCTCTTCATCCGAAAGACAAGCGCAACTCGTACTCTGGGTCCATGCAGTTGCTGCTCCGACAGAGGGCGTGCAATTAGCAGAAGAAGATAATGGCGAAGAGTGGACGCAGAGGGTGGGCCGTTCCAGGCGATGAGCGGGGGTTCTGAGGTGTGTTGAGGTAGAGATAGTGAGTGATGTGGAGCAGCTCGCATATATGAAGTTTTTCGAACGCTGTTCCATCGTGTATCAACGGGATCGATACCCCGACTCATATGCACGGAAACAACAGCAGAGGAAACCCAGAGGGTACCCCCCCAAGAAGCCGACTGGGCTTGCAGATAATGCGATAGATGTTCTTCAGACATAATACAAGAGCTAGCTGTTGGTCGATTCATTAACCACCAGACTAGCATGAGATGGAGGTGCATACTCACTGGAACCTCCATGTACCTTTCAGTAAGCTGATCTCTAACCACTCTCCCAGAGACGTTGAACATGCCGCGTAAAAGGAACTCGGTTTAACGAGCTGAACACCTTCAAAGATCGCGGATGCTTTGGGTTGTTTTCAAGGCATCCTAACGACGACGCAAGAGTGTTCCAAAGGCGACGTTCGTCTGTCCTGGCGAAGAATTCGAAAGCACGACTGAGAGAAAGGACAGACTGTTAGGAAAGGTGGGTAAGTTGAGCTTGTCGAAGTTGGATGGAGGGCGCAAAAGAGGGGGGGAGGAGAACAAGTGAAATAACGAAATTGGAGGGTAAATCGAAGGAAAGAAATTACGAACGAAAGTGAAATTGCAGTCATAGGAACCAATATGCGCTGAGGTTGGTGGAAGACGATAGCGTAAGAAACGCGGAGAAACGACCAAAACGGAGACCATAGGAGATTAAAATCAAAAAAGGACACCCACCTAAGTATACGGACTCTGAATGAAGGCGCATAGAGTCGATCTTGAGCTTGACAATCCGCATCCAAAGTCAGGCCGAAAAACATGCTCCGCTGGCGGACCTGGCTTGCTTCGCAACGTGCCGGGAAGGTGGAGAAGTATGCCGAACAAACTTGACGTTGGCCCTTGTGCATCTTTTCGTGTCCAAAATCGAAGTCGTTGCAGAAGCCCAGTCCCAATCGGCGAACCACCCGACCCATCAGCACTCCCCTCAACGTTATCCTACTTCCTCAACACCACGAAATAAACAGCAAGAACCACCACCAAGCCGATGGTAAGGATCACACCCAAGACGCCTAGCAAAACTTTGGTCCGTCGTTTACTCGCTTTCACTTGAAATCTAACCACGGTCGGTTCTTCGGCTGTTGAGTCACCCAAAGCCTCCATATCCTCAGGCTCCACCCCCGCCACGCAAATTGAAGCAAACGCAAGTGGTTGTTCCTCATTCGAGGTGTCATTGTTAGTCACACCGAGGGCTTGAAAAAAGTCGGCAGTAAGAGACGAGCGCTTCGAAAGGAAGGCGGGTGTAGAGCCTAGAAAGTCATCGGACGAGTGGAAGGGGGATGAGTCGCCTGATCGAGGAACATGTGAGTCGTCTGCGGTTCAGTCAACGATGCGCCTTGTGGGAGGTGGTGAGAAGTTGTGATAATTGGCGCTGAAAGAAGGTCGGTGAACTCGGGTGGCTGGAGCGCCGATTGGTCTGTGGCTGCTGGATGGTTGACGACCATAGCCTCGCAAGTGGATGGTGGTGATGGGTGTCTGATGGTGGTGATGAGTGTTTGACAGAGGACGGTGGTGGGTCCTCTTCTTGCACAACAGGGGCAATGTACAAGGATGGTTGGCTGTCGAATTTGTGGCATGTCGTCCGAGCCGAATCGCCAGGGCTTTCTCTGTGCAATTATCCAACACCGCGGCAATGATACGGCATCCAAGGCGAATAGGAGTTGAGAAGACGTGAGGTAACGTCCAACAACAGCAGCGCTGGAGGAATAGCCAAGCCCAGGTGATTGGAGCTCGGTATTGCCTGTGAAAGACGGCAGCAGTGCTCAGGGGTTTCGTAGCTTTCGGGTGAGGTGATGCTGCACGAGATAGGGCCATATTTGGAGGATCAACCTAACTGCCACGTAGTAGCACGTCGCAGGGCTTCAGAGAACTAACATCAGAAGGCGAAACAGGCGGCATGAATGGCAAACGCACCTCAGTTATCCAACCCAGCTTCAGCCGTCAAATATCCTCAGGCGAACTCGTGAAGGCGAACGGATCACTATATCATCGTACTGTGAGGTCTTGAGGGTGGAAAGCCATTGAGAGCGATAGCTGGCGGCCCTGTAGACTGCGCGACGTGTTGGATATGTTGGTCGAGGACGAGCCCATGATGGTGGTCAAGCTTCAAGATCAAACCTGGATCAAATTTGTAAACATGACAGCCTCACACTTCGGATGTTGATCACAACGAGCACGTCTCTTCTTTGACCTCTGTCGTTCGTTGCGAAAAAGGCGTCCCTTTGGAACTTGTACTCATTATGAGCTGCTGCTCTAGGATGTCTCCTTTTTCTGCCTACGCGATGGCCCTCTGATGCTCTAGGTATTTTTGCGAGGGTCAGGAGTCTTTCTACGGCGACTCATACCAACATACGATCCAGTAATGTATTTTTGTCCCTCTGCCAATTGAACTCTTATCAATCCTTTCGTTAGTCGTCAGATTTCAGTGTTGCCCCTATAAAGAACGCATGACTTCCTTGCCCCAACGCCATATTCGTAAATGACTTCTAAAGAATGGAAAAGGAATGAAGGAGGAAGAAGCGAGGAAGAGGCAAAAAAATGGCAGAGAGAAACAGAGACGAAGAAAGTAGGGAAAATAAAAGAGGGAGTAGAAAACGACGTACACGTCTTTCGCCGACACAAGCTGCATGACCTGATCACATGCATCGAAAGACCTAATGTCCATCCATCCATCGTCGCCTTCCTCTTAACGTCCAGTGCCTCGTCCTTATTCTCCGTGTCCCCTTCGCAAGACACGGGTTCCCCCCTACCACCTTCGGCTTCATACCCTGAAACGTTGACATCAAGTCCACTAGCGTGTCCGTGCATGAATGAGGCCGAACCCCAAAATACGAGTACTGATACAACACATAGCTGCGGCCACTGATCTGCAGATCGTAGTTGTGCTCTCCCTCCTCGAGCTGCATATCCGAGGACGTGAACACAAGCTCGAACACGATTTAGCGTAGAGGGGCCACCGAGGTCGAGGACGGCATATGTGGGCGTATAGGGTGGCGTGAAAGTTTTGATCGTTTTGAGGAGGCAGTTGGCAGTTCTCCACGCGTACATGTACTCGTCCTTATCATCCATGGTCCCCACTCCATCTTTCTCCAGTATTTGGGAGGGATAAGACGGTCGTATCCTCCCTTTCGCACTCAAAATATCAACGCCCTTTGAACCCGGCTACAAACGGAGCTCAACAGTGGCTGTAACAGCTGCTGGGGAACAGCCATCAACCGAAAGACAAGAGCAACTCGTACTCTGGGCTGTAGTAGCTGCATCGACAGAGGGCGTACAATTAGCAGAAGGTGATGATGGAGAGGAGTGGACGTAGAGGGTTGGGATGTTCCGGGGTGATGAGCGAGGGCTTTGAGGTGTGTTGAGGCGGAGGTAGTGGGTGAGGAGGAGCAGCTCGCGTATAGGAAGATTTTGGGAAGCTGGTCCAGCGTGTTTCCAGGACAAAACTGTGAAAGGGGATCGACACCCCGAACATATGCGGGGAAACGGCCGAAGCCGACTGGGGCTTGCAAAGAATGCGGTAGATCCTCTTGAAATAGTACAAAAGCTAGCTGTAGATCGATTCGTTAATCACAAGACTAGCATGAGAATGAGGTGCATACTCACTGGAAACTCCATGAACCCTCCAGTGAGCTGACCTCGGGTGTTTGGACGTTCCGAGGAAAAGTCGGACATCATCAAAGATTGCGGATGATTTGGGTCAATTTCAAGGCACGTATGACTCTCTGAACGACGTTGTGAGATGATTATGAGGGTGTCGTTCACCTGTCCTGGCGAAGACTTCGAAAGTACAAGTGAGGGAAAGGGTGGGCTGCTGGGGAAAGTGGGTGAGTTAAGCTTGTCAAGGTCAAAGGGGCGCGAAGAGG